CACAGTTACCATGACGTAGATTTAGTAATTAAACTTATATTTGTATGATTCCTAATCATAGCAAACTGGCCCAGCTGACATGGCTAACTTTGGAGAATTCAATGTCAGGGACAGAGCTGTCCTCTATCCAGAGGTGGAGGAGGAAGGTATCCTCAGGGTTGATTATCAAGAAGGGCCACCTGAATGAAGGTGACAAACTCAATTCAATTGCGTTCTCCATATGACAGGTAACTTGAGCGTGGAAAGCAATATTGATGCCTTTTCTGGTTAACCTTTTCACTTTCAAAGTGTTCCCATATTATCTCATGAGAGGCCCAAGGCACACCTGTCCCTCCCTGTTTACGTGAGAGGCCCAGAGAGCTGAGCAACTTTTTGAAAATCACAAAGCCAAGTAGTGATGGAACTTAGAGTTTCTGAATTCCAAATTCTTTCTCCATCTCTTTAGGGCAGGTGGGCCTGACTGGGGTCCCCTGATCACGAGAAGCAAGCAAGGGCCAAAGGTGGCATGTTCTAGCAAACTTCCTTGTTTGAGAGGACACCTGGACAATAAGTGTTTGGTCAGGTGGCTTGGTGTGCCGGCCTTTCTTTAAGCTCTGTTTTTGAGCTCTGCCTGCCTTTCTCCCCGTGAGCATTCTCTGCCGCATTGTTGTTCAGGGGAAGAGAGAAATCAGAGAGGCGATAAAGCATTTAAATTGGTTCCTGATTTTAGCAGGATTCTTTCATCTGCAGTTGCCAGATGTATGCCTGTGTTTACAATTCAGTGGGAAGATAAAGATTATGCAAGGACAGGCCTTATAGAGCCCCGGGGTTCTAAAACTGGGAGAGACCTCTGAAATTCCGACATTTGGCTTAGTTGGACGCTGAGTGATTCAGAAAGGTTGGGGGAGACCCTTCCACCAATTGCTCTGGGAGAAATGCCTTCTACCTAGAGATGGGAATGGCCAGTTGGTCTCAGAGGGAGATAGAGAGAAAAGGCCTGAACTGTGCCAGAATTGTATATTTTGTAGAATTTCCAAGCCCTGCTTCCCTTTCAATTCCAGAGAAAAGGCAGGACATAAGATAGACTGAGAAGTGCTATATTCTTCCTGCATCTGGAACCTGGATTCACAGGTAAGGATAAAGGAAAGATTTTCATGGGGCACCTGGGTGGCTCAGTTGTTAAGCGTCTGCCTTCAGCTGGGGCCCTGATCTCAGGGTCCTGGGATCGAGCCCTGCATCAGGCTTCCTGCTCAGCGGGAAGCCTGCTTCTCCCTCTCCCACTCCCCCTGCTTGTGTTCCCTCTCTTGCTGTGTCTCTCTCTGTCAAATAAATAAATAAAATCTTTAAAAAAAAAAAAAGAAAGATTTTCATATGGCTCCTTAAAAACACAAGCCCACTTACAAGCAAGTGTCTTTACATGCTGCACCAACACTTCTCAGCAAGGACTCAGAAGAATATGGAAAATATTAGTTTAAGCAGATGTGATTTACAGTTGTGCCAACTAATCAAAATCTTCTGCTCATATACAACTGATTAATGATGACACATTCCCAATTATAAGAAATAGTCTGTTTTTCCATAAGAATAATATTCTTATTAAAACCTACCAGAAGGGCGCCTGGGTGGCTCAGTTGGTTAAGCGACTGCCTTCGGCTCAGGTCATGATCCTGGAGTCCCGGGATCGAGTCCCGCATCGGGCTCCCTGCTCGGCAGGGAGTCTGCTTCTCCTTCTGACCCTCCCCCCTCTCATGTGCTCTCTCTCTCTCTCATTCTCTCTCTCAAATAAATAAATAAAATCTTAAAAAAAAAAAAAACCTACCAGAAAATAACAATAAATTCATGGACTATTTGATAAATATTTTTCAATGGTCTTGTAGACTTCCATTGTATCAATGAAGGAATCTAAACCTAAGGAGTTCTTTGGGAATATTCTAGTCTAGCACCCAAGACTGGGACACTAATTGTGTGTTAGATATTATATCAGGCTTTGTAGAACATTTTGAGAGAAGCAGAAGAAGAATCTCTCACCTTGAGGTGCTTGCCATCTAAAAAGAAACCTGGGTAGACACTAACAACATAAACATGTACACAAGTCCAGCCTGCAGAGCCTCCTTACAAATATTTAAGGGCATACTTGAGGCCAGGAGTATTCTGAAGTTCAAAAAATATAGTGATAACACAGGTGAGGTCTTTGCCTTCAAGGAATAGAGCAATACATTCTCATCACTTATCCTTCAGCTTCCCTGTCTTTGCTCTTCCTATCCTCTCTGTCTTGATTGCTTTCTCCACCACGTCTGGGTATCTGAATTCCACCCATTTCATACGGACTGAGCCCTACCTCCCCTGTGAAATTCTCTCATACCTCAGAGATTCTTTCTTCGTCTGGCTCTTTTAACACTCACTGCCTGCTCCACTTTCTGGTCATTCACAGACTGCTGTGCTATTGCTGGTTATGTGTTCACATGTTTATGAGCTGTCTTCTTAAGGGCATAACTTGGGTTTTATTTATTCTCGAATCTTCTTTATCCATGAGTGCTTAGCATAATACCCTGCATGTATTAGGTACTCACAACATGTTTTTTAAGTGGTTGGTTTTTAAAATTATACATACACTACAAGCTTAATGGTTAAGGGGTGTTACTTAGTGAAATATTAAAAAAAAAAAGATAACCCAAACATCTGAAAAATTGAAGTGATAACAGTATATGAAATCCCATCATTAGAGATTCATGCCTTTGGAAAAGAGTCATCTGATACTCTAAAAAATACAGGAAGGGCAGTACATTAAATTAAGTTTATTTAGTTATTAGTGATATATGTTTTATTCTCTAATAGACACAAGAAATGAGTTGGGTAAGAGTACAGTTCAACTCTCAAACAGCTGAGTCCTTACTGCAAGCCAAGGACTGTGCTTCATGTTAGGGTCCAAGATGGCTCAAACATAATCCTCTCCTTGAAAAGCATACATTCAAGTCACCAGAATATTTTATTATAATTTTTTAAGGGGCTATGACAAAACCAGACACAGGTAATGAAACAGTCTACCTTGGAGGATTGAGGGAAGGCTTCCTAGAGGAGTCATCAACTAGCATTCCTCCAGGCCTTCTCTGCCTGAGTGCTTTCCCCACTTCACTGCTGGTAGTCTTACAGCTACTTCAAGACCCACTTCAAATGTCACCTCCTCTGAGAAGCCATTCCTAATCCTCACAGACAGAATGATTCCCTAACTCCTTGGTGCCCCTAAACCACTTTGCCCAATGGTATTATAGCATTTCTCACATCTCATTGTGGTTAATTGTTCCTGTGTCTATCTTCCCCATTCTCTCCTCTAGCCCTCATAGATTGTGAACTTCCCACAGACAGGGGCTACTTCCCATTCATATCGGTCTGTCCAGCACTTACCACTGCCTGGCACATGGTGATGGGAAGACCACTGTATTATCATAGTTGGCTGGAGACCTCTTGAACATCACTGGGTCTCTGGCTCAGAGCCGGATTGTGCATCTAATAGGTCCCAAGTCGAGAGCCAGCTGGGATGCAGGAAGGAAGAACTGCCTACCAATATTAGTGTCAAGCTGCTCATTGATTCTATCCAGTCCAATGGATACTTACTGAGAACTAGCTCACATAAGAATAAGAATCCAGCCACTACTACTAGAATACCTACTGTGTGCCAGGTGCTTTATATACACAATCTCATTTATTCTGAGTAACAACTTTGAAAAGTGTTATCTCCCCATGGCATAATGTATAAACTCATTGAATCACTGTGTTGTACACCTGAAACTAATGTAACATTGTGTCAATTATACTAAAATAAAAAAAAATTTAAAGCATTATTTCCTTTTATCAGATAAGGAAAAGAGGCTCAGAAGCTAATTTGCCTGAGGTCACACATCACCCAGAGAGGTCTGAATGTAAAGTACTATATCTGCTGTGTCCTGTTCCCATACAACACATGGATTAAGTATATCTCATGAGAGGTGAAAACAAAGGTCCAGAGGTCATACCAGATTTAGGGAGTGCACACGGAAAGGTGATAATCTGAGGTCTTCATGGAGGTGGAAGCAGATCTAGCCAATTAATGAACTGGAAAAACAAATGGATTTTGAAGAGATGAACTTCTTGGTACAACATAGGACGCACCACTGCCTATCAGGGAGGCAAACACAGAAGGGGTGGGGGACCCTTAGATATCCCACTTGGGGAGAGGGGGTCTCCAGCCTTACACACGGTTTCTTCTCTCTGATCCATGAGGAGGGGAAGAGAAGAAGGTGCTCTTAAGTGAGCCATCCCTAAAGTGTAGGCACCAGAAATGCGCCCGCAGACCCGTTGGAGGGATCTGTCAAGTCTCTGTCACAGGATGGATGAATGGGTGGGAGTGTGGGGAGAGAGGATGTCTTTCTCACCTAATATTGAGGAGGGAGTAGTTCTTATTTGTCTCATCATAGGAGTGTGTGTGTGTGTTGGGAGCGGGGGGGTGGGGCGCAGATTATTCCTTCCTCCATCACCTGGAGGTTGAGGAGATGGCACCTTTCTCCCAGCTTTGGGAAAGGAGGTGGTTCTATTCTTTCCCACTACAGGGAGTGTGTGCGTGTGTTTACGTGCGCGCGCGCCAGGGGGAATGGGTCCTTTCTCACCTCCGGGTGGGGATGCTGACACCTCTCTTTCTTCCAAAGGGAGTGGGGACAGTTTCCTTCGCCTCCATCTCGGGAGGGACATGGCTCTTTTATCCCCAACCAAAAAGGGGTAGGGGTCTCGGCTCCCTTTTCCCTATTCTCGGGGAGCAAGACTGGCTTCCATGCTCTCTCCACAGAGCTCCGCTCAGGTTGCAGGAGGCCTGGCAATCCCCCGACCCAAATCCCCAGACTAGGGGCCCCACGGCTAGGTGCGGGCGCGCAGGCTGCGAGTCGGGGGCGGTGCCCGCTCTGCGGAGCGGGGCGGGGCGAGCGGTGGCCCCGCCCCCGGCCCCGCCCGCTCCCTGGCGCGGAGCCTCGCGCCGCCCGGCCCGCCCGGCCCAGTGCACCGCGGGTGTCTGCCGGGCTCGCTCGCCGCGGACCGGGCCGCAGCCGCCTCAGCCGCCTCAGTGCCCCAGCCACCGCCGCCTCAGTCTCGCCCTCCGCGCCACCCGGCCCCGCCGCCCCGCGCGCCCCCAGCCCCTCAAGCCAGATGATGAACTTCCTGAGGCGCCGACTGTCGGACAGCAGCTTCATCGCCAACCTGCCCAATGGCTACATGACCGACCTGCAGCGGCCCGAGCCCCAGCAGCCGCCGCCGCCGCCCCCCGGCCCCGGCGCGGCCTCGGCCTCCTCGGCGCCCCCGGCCGCCTCGCCGGGCCCCGAGCGGAGGCCGCCGCCGGCCCCGGCCCCGGCCCCGGCGCCCGCGCCGCAACCCGCGCCGCAGGCTGCCGCGGCGCCGTCGGTGGGCAGCAGCTTCTTCAGCTCGCTGTCCCAAGCCGTGAAGCAGACTGCCGCCTCGGCCGGCCTGGTGGACGCGCCCGCGCCCGCGCCCGCCGCCGCCAGGAAGGCCAAGGTGCTGCTGGTCGTCGACGAGCCGCACACCGACTGGTAGGTGCCCGGCCGCCGCCGCCGCTGGGGGTTCGCGGGGCCTGCCGCGCAGCTGGAGGCCGCGGGGAAGGTGGTCCCGGGCGCCTAGGAATCCCTTCTGACCGCTGAGAAGGAGGGTCTGCATGGTCCCGCAGTGGGGAGATGGGGGGATGTTGAGCGTTGTGTGTGCGGGGGCGGGGGCGGGGGCGGGGTGGGGGGAGTGTGGAAAGGTGAATCCTGAGGCGAAATATTGCCTGGATTCTTTCAAATCCCTCACGACACATAAAACAAGGAGCTACTTTATGCAACAGGGAAGGATCTTAAAAAAACCACAACAAACCAGAGTTTTGTTTTTTGTTTTGAAGGGGGGGCCGAAGGAACCGACTATCAGCCTAGACACGTAGAAGCTCAGGTGAAACATTTAAAGCCAATAAAAAAGATTCTACGTCGTGAGGCACGGAGTGAATTTGCGGTGGAAATGGGTGTTTTGCGGGGAGAGGGTGATGGAGGGAGTTTTCACCTGGCTGGATGAAGGCTTGTATCACTATTGACATCCACGTTGGCCAAAGCACGGATGTGAGAGCCCAGGTGTACCTGAGCTTGTTCCAGTGGAGCATGGCTGTAGTCGGTTTAAGAATAATAAAATTCTTGTATTTTGTACAGCAGGGAGGGTATTTGTGGATTTTTAAATTTGTTTTTGTTTTAGTAAAAAAAAGAGTGTGTGTGTGGCGGGGTGGGGGGGTTTGTGAAAATGATGGTGTTTTTTTTCCAGCTGGAAAGATGATGACCGAGATAAAATATTCTGGATCATTAAAGGGGCACAAACAAACAAAAAGATTTACCTTAATGCAGTAGACAGCAATTTCAAGAATCAATCTTTCTTTTATTTTTTCTTTTCTTTCTTTTTTCTAAGGGATATTCCAACTTAGAATGGTGAAGGCTGGGGGAAAATGTTACCTCAAGTTGGTAAAAGCATGAATGGGGTTCATTCAAGACAAATCTAAAGAAGTTCTATTTTATGTAGCAGGAATTTGGCCCAGGAGATGGTTGGGGTGGGTGGTGTTGGAAGAATTGACTGGTGAAGGGCTTGAAAAAATGAAGAGGCAAGGAATCTGGGTTGCTTCTTCTTCAGGAATACAGGAAGGGTTTTATTTTTTTCTTTCTCACAAGGGTTGAGGTTAGAGACTGGACCAAGTGCTTCCTCCCAAGAGTGAGGCATAGAGGGACCGCAGAGCTGTTTATCTCCTTTTCCTCTTTTGGCTGCTTTACTGCTTTTCTCTATCATTTTCTCACTGGGAGACTTGGAGGGAGGGAGTGCTGGTGTGGCTGTAATGGAAGTGAGATGTAGATGTGGAGATGCACTCCTGCTGGCCCCTAATATGACCATTCTGAATAGTCATTTGGGTGACTTGTGTAGTTGCCTTTTCTCAGAACAATGGAGTAGAAAATCTTAAGGGATCTTTGTTAGGAAATAACAGAGGCACCAGCAAGAGTGTATGAGGAAAATATAAGAGTATATGATGGTCCCATTGGTAGTTCCCTAGGAGGATTATTCTTAGTTCAAATCAACAAGTGCTTATTAAGTGAGAAAGGTAGGTAGGTAAGTTTTATTGAGCGTCTGTGATATGTCAAACCCTGTACTAGGTGCTCTAACATATATCTCATTAAATTCTAAACACAAAACAGGCTTACAAAAAGTGAGTAATATGTTCCCAGTCATACAGCCAGCAAACAGTTGATCTAGGATTTGAACTTAGACCCATTTGACTCCAGTATTGCCATTCCACTGTGCTGTGTTGCCTCACTATTATTGTATTATTGGCAGTATTAATAATAGGCTCCCTCTACAGGGTAGGCAGTGTAGGGGCCTTACCAAGAACTCACACTGAAATTTGGGAGACAAAATGGAGACATGAAACAGTTAACAAAAATGATTCTACAATTATTTCAGACTCGTGTTTTAGGCATTCAATAAACAGGGTGATTATGAGAGCCAGAGTTATTGGAGAAAGCTTTGTAAAAGATGAGTCTTGAAGAAAGGCCAGGAAAAGGAGGGGAGAAATGGGAATGATACTGGTGCTTCATTTTTTTATGCAAGAATCTGACACTCCTGTACCTTGTCCTGATCTCCTATCCTGTTGAAGGCATTTGTTTTGGGTTTAATTACCAGTTAGGTACCCAAAGGTAGGAAGATACTCATTTGTATGGGTATGATGTGGCTGCTGTAGATTTGTGTTTAGCACTAACTGCTTCAGTAGCTTAGGATTCAAAACTCCTTTTGGATAGTATTTTTCTTTAGGAAAGACTGCCTGCCTGGCATGAACCAGAGAATTTGCCTTGCTCTGGGGACTAGATTTCTGATGGAAGTAATAGTAGCCACTTTGGGCTGACTCCCAACTGTTTTCTGATTTTCTCTGAAGTAATAACATTGATTTATTAAAACTCACAAACCCAGTTTGAGTCTAGTGCTTGACAGCATTTGACACTTCTCTGTTTCTGTGCTTAATAGCAATTCTCAGGATTGCAGATTTTGTCTTCCTTCTTGCCTGAATTTGTTAAAAACATCTCAGTTAAATATTGTTGAATGGTTTTATTGAAAGTTCTCTATAAGTTAAGGAGCAGGTGTCTGCTTATGACAAGCATAGTGACTTAAAAAGGTGCTTTTTCCTCTAACAGCAAATTTTAGTAAATTTGTCTCACTGTTTAAGCTATCTAGATAGCATTCAGTGAGCAGGTGTCATATATGCCCCATATTATCTTCTTGATGCTTGAATAGGAAGTCAGAGTGTAGCTTCCCAGTAGAATTTAAGAATATTGGTCCCATTTGAATTATAGAATGCTAAAATAAAGAGGGTTTTAAGAAGCATTTAAATGATTGGAGATTTAAAAAAGGGCTTAAAGTAGGCAGCCTCTCAGAGCAGACTTAATATGCAGCAGATTCATTCAAATTTTTATCAGTGTAATTGTGGGCACTTTGGGGACTTTCCTACGGACTAAGTTGATGGGAAGATTGGAGGGTGTTTCTGTCTTTTGCTTGAAATGTGTTTTCATTGGTTACTTGAGATCTTTAGATTAATTGCACACTAAAGAATCATTGGAAAAAATGGATCTGCTCCACTAAAAAATGAAATCAAGCTTATTATATCCCTTATTAGTAATTGTTACTAGTGTTTTAAATATATATATTTTTTGCCTGAAAATGCGTGTCTTCTTTTAAGGTTCATACCTAAATTTTAAGTGCAGTTAAGACTGAACTCTAATTATCTTTGTGCTTAAACAAGGAACAAATGTCCATTTGTATGTTGTTTTTTCTGCATATTACACTCTCACTGGTGAAGAGGTAAGTTTTCTCTCAGATTTTCCCCTGCCTCCATTTTCAACAATTCCAACTCCAGTGACCAAGTGAGCTTTTTCATCTTAGCATGTCTCAATGTTTGATTTGAAAATCAGCATAGCACAGACATTCTAGAGATTATCTAGGTGTTCTAGGGACTGTAGATATGGTAAATCCACAGGTGGTTATTGAGCACCTTCTCAGTATAGGGTGTATATGCTAAGAAAAAGAAGATGTAGTATCTGTCTTTTAAGATCTTTCTGTTCAGGTGGACAGACAACATACTTTTTTAAAAAAAAAATTAACATATAATGTATTATTTGTTTCAGGGGTACAGGTCTGTGGGTCATCCGTCTTATATAATACCCAGTGCTCATTATAACACATACCCTCCTCAGTGTCCATCACCCAGTTACCCCATCCCTCCACCCTCCTCCCCTCCAGCAACCCTCAGTTTGTTTCCTATGATTAAGAGTCTCTTGGGATGCCTGGGTGGCTCAGTTGTTGGGTGTCTGCCTTCGGCTCAGATCATGATCCCAGGGTCCTGGGATCGAGCCCCGTGTCGGGCTCCCTGCTCAGCGGGGAGCCTGCTTCTCCCCCTCCCACTCCCCCTGCTTGTGTTCCCTCTCTCACTGTCTCTCTGTCAAATAAATAAATAAAATCTTAAAAAAAAAAAAAAAAGAGTCTCTTAATGGTTTGTCTCCCTCTCTGGTTTCATCTTGTTTCATTTTTTCCTCTCTTCCCCTATGGTCCTCTGCCTTGTTTCTTAAATTCCACAAATCAGTGAGATCATATAATTGTCTTTCTCTGATTGACTTATTTCGCTTAGCATAATACCCTTTAGTTCCATCCACATTGTTGCAAGTGGTAAGATTTCATTTTCTGATGGCTGCATAGTATTCCATTATATATATATGTATGTGTGTGTGTGTGTGTGTATATGTATACATATACACATATGTATATACATACACACACACACACATACCGTATGTTCTTTATCAATTCATCTGTCGATGGACATCTGGGCTCTTTCCATAGTTTGACTATTGTTAACATTGCTGCTATAAACATTGGGGTGCAGGTGCCCCTTTGGATCAACTACATTTGTGTCTTTGGGGTATGTACCCAGTAATGCAATTGCCTAGTCGTAGGGTAGTTCTATTTTCAACTTTTTGAGGGACTTCCATACTGTTTTCCAGAGAGGCTGCACCAGCTTGCATTCCCACCAACAGTGTAGGAGGGTTCCCCCATACTTTTTTTTTTAAGTTTCCAAAAACTACCCCTTGTAATTCAAAGAATATAGTCCTTGGATCAACAGCATTGGCATCAAGCAGGAGCTTTTTTTTTTTTTAAGATTTATTTATTTATTTTAGGTAGAGACCATGAGTGGGAAGGGCAGAGGGAGAGGGAGAAAGAATCTCAAGCAGACTCCACACTGATCGCTGAGCACGACATGGGGCTTGATCCCAAGACCCTGAGATCACCACCTGAGTGGAAAACAAGAGTCAGACAGTCAACTGCTCAACGGACTGCACCACCCAGGTGCCCCAACCAGGAGCTTTTTGAACTACAGATTATCAGGTCATCGTATCTACTGAATCAATTTGCATTTGAATAAAATGTCTAGGTGATTCACATGCACATTAAATTTAAGATGCCCTGAACTAAAGGATATGTGATTAGT